GTGCATGTGCATACACATACATATATGAGCGAACGCACACATCTATTTCACACTAGACGCTAGACAAATAACCCATCAGCGACCAACATATACTTTCGTCAGTGTGTGAACCTCAATGGGGAATGACAGTCACACTATTCCCGTTTGCTGGCTTCATTTGATATATCGAAAAATGATGTATATACTAGCCACAGTTTGTAGCTATTGTCTGCTGGAAGTCGATGCATTCTGCTGTAATTATACGATAAATAATGTGACCTTCTATTTCATGCTACTTCGTAACAAACAACATAAGTACATAAATCCACAAACAAAGAGAGAACTTGTAGTAATGTTCTTCATAAACGTACAAGCGAGGAGAACAACAAAGTTCTTACAAAGTTACAAAAAACTATCTCAATAATGATGTTTAGCTAATGGATCGCTGCGGCTGTTATTCAGGAGGCGCTTTATGTGTAAAAAAAATCATTTAGAAGTGATATCTAGATCGAAGGAACTCCTCAGAGTTCCAGATAGGTTTTAATTACCATTGGCTTTTTTGAATTCGAAGCTATTTTTTCGTAAAAAAATCATTTATAATAATATATAAAGTATAATAATAATATACATAATTAATCGTATGTTAAAAAAAATAATGAAATTATAGCGACACTAGAAGGCGGACAGTAATTTAGCCTGTTTTTTTCTTAAATTTTTTTTTAATAATTAAAATTAGATCGACAGATATTGCACAACAGGTGATCAACCATACTAACAATACTGTGCATCTATTACATAGTCACATTCACTAGAATTATGTACAGCCAGCATTAAACCTTTTCGATTCGTTTTGTAAAAATCTGATCAAGTTGATTAAAATCACAGGGTGGAAGGATTACAACTTCAGATGAACAGTTGCGGTATTCGTGTGTTCACATAAGAGCCAGCGGTTCCGGAACAGGAAAGCTTCGCGCACACCTTGTGTGCACACCATATATTTAAATATACAAAAACCTCATGTGCAATATCTACGAATCTGGCAACAGTTTTGGCATAAAGGATGTGTGAACCAGGAGCTGCCCGTACCTATAATAGCAGGTGGGTGGTTAATTTATTAAGAAAAATATCGCTCTGAAGCAAAATGTTCACGAAGCACCGCGGTGCGTTGGGCCTGTCGTTCGTTACGTGACATTTCGATACAATGTGCTCTCGTTATTTACTTGTATTATGTTAAATCAGATACTATAAAAATGAGAAAGCTTCAAGATGAGCGCCTAGTTTTCTTGGACAGTTGATTTGAAGTGGGCATATGGCGAGTGCTTGGAGCAAGTGCGTTATATTCTAATGGTCGTACACTGTTCTCATCGATCAGAGTACTACAATAATCGACAGTCACAGCAGCTTACTACCAGCCAAGATGGTCGTATTGCATAAAATGGGTTGAATCCATCTACTCTACTATTCTGTGACAGTTGTATCTATGTGATTTATCTATTTACTTGTACTAGTAAAACTGAGACCGAGTCTCTGTCTGGCCTTCCGCGTACGTGCAGGCTGATCTAATACAAGTGCATTCTTCGCATTGAGCTGATTTTTCAGAAATATTAAGGCATTACCTCAAAGTCAATCACCTGTCGAATGGAGGAGACCTGGATGACAATCTTTTTTCGCAAGTATAAATAGAGCGTAATATTAATTAAGATAACTTAGTTATATCTTTGGATCTCCTCGATGACTATTAAGAGTTTATGAGGGTTATGTTGGAAAGTTGTTTTTCCATGCTCTATAAAGCCGGCTACGATCGAATTTAGACAACAAGAGCTTTGATATTTTATATATTTATTGCCTAGAGTTTAAATAATAATGGTTTCCAGTTGATAGCTGGACACATGTGGCCCCTATTCTTTAAATGTGTGAATCATTTTATTAGACTCTTTATTAGGATTAGATCCTCTCTCCTAATCAAAAAAAAAAAGAAAGAAAGAAAGAAGAAAAAAGCGGGGAAAGGGCGTAAGCCTAATTGGGCTGTTTGACTGACGAAATATCAGTTGTTCGGAAGAATATAGCTTATGTTTTCTGGTAGGGATGAACAGTTTTTCTAAGATATAGATTGTGCAAGCTGACCGTTGTGGGCCTGTAACTCAGCAACCCTTGAGAGTATCAGGAAGGTTTGTAATGCAAAGTAATGATGTATAGTAATATAATATAGAATAGGTATAGCAATGACTTTTTTCTCTTTTTCGTATTCTATCTCTTGAGATAAAATGGTGACCTCTGGTTGAATGGTTCGAAATCGATATAAATGCGAATCAAGGTACAGACGCAAACGGGTATCATTATAGCTTACAACAATGTTCCATGGAGTAGCGAAAGCAACTCAAGAATTGTACGGGGGGACTAGGCTAAACGAGACTCGAAATGGCCATCCGTGCGCGAAGTTAACTTTGCCTATACAGATGAAGTACATTTGTCTGGGTTAATATAGGCAACTTCGAAGCCGCGCTCACTTACTTTTTTCCAGTAGCGGAATTCTGCATCAGCGAAATAACTGCAATTTAGTAACGTGGTTGCTGGAACGTTGATTCCACAAAGGGAGCTAATCCCCGGGTACAGAGTAATAGGATAGCGTACGCAAGCTAACGTAATCATTGACATAAGGTAAAAAATCGACAAAGTCAATGATATACCATTAGAGTGACCAGAGTTATAACGAGATAACGGAACTAATAGTACTGGGTTTACGAGACTGAAATTGAACGCCTATAAAATTGTCGATTTGCTATTGAGCAGTAGCTTTAGGTTAGGAATGATACAAATCGAAGGACTGTGAGAACATTATAACGGGAACGACCTGCGTATTTCTAATAAATTAGAAAAAATAGAACTACCTTACCAGGATGGCTGCAACAATCTAGCGGGTTTGTTGCCCCTGAATTTTAGAAGAACTACAACGAGAAAGCTAGATAATTCAGTTGTAAACCTACGTGTTCAATTTGCATCAGACCAGATCTAGTATTAATGAATCAATTCAGGTAAATTAACGACAAAATAGGCGTAGGCTGAAGCTCGTAGGTGTGCCTAATTTCATCTAAAGGGTTCAGTTCCGATCGGATTCCAGTCTCCAGTGGCCAGCTCTGCATTTTTAAAACGTTGCGATAATCTAATGTGGTGCAATAACTTAACTTCCACAAGGATGAAGGACGATTGCTTAAGTCATCGCCTTTAACTTGTATCTTCGATTAAGTTATTTTTTGAATTATGCTCTCATCTGCGATAGGTCACTATACGTTATTATCGCCATGAGATTATGCCTCGTACAAGTTGGCGCTGATTACTCGCATACATGAGTAGTTGCCTGCCTGGTGGCGCGTAGTTTAGCCAACTTAATTTAACTTATAACTCCACTCACGTGAGTTATAATTTTATCGCACAAATATGTATAACTAGTCTTATTTCTGACTGAATGTTATTTGTCTAATTTAAATTTATGCTTGATATAAAGCCCGTGATCTTGATCTCAGCCTTGTGGGTTTGTGGGCGGAAAGGCACTGGATAAAAAAATTCCCGCCCCCTCTCTAACTTGGGTGATTATGAGAGAAAGAAGACGAAGAAAACAGCAGTTATTTTTAATTGTCCGAACCTCAATTTCGTAACTCTTGCCGTCTCACCTTTTGTGTTATTTTTTCACTTCTGCACATACAAATACGTGTGATCTAAGTTTGATTATTATGACCCTTACTCGGCCATTTCGATGCTACTTTAGCAATCAGGGTGCGCAATGAGCGCACTCATCGTAATCTCCTGTACAGCCGACGCCCCGACGATGGTTCGCCTTTAGAGCGAGCCCACCCAATATTATGATGATCATCATCGTCTTCTTATCTCTACCCTTTGCACAATCCCACATCGGGACCTCTACTCGTGATTCGCTCGTCTGAGAGCTTCGACTAGGCCGCGAGTAGATCAAGCATTTCCTGATTGAGTCACCTTCTCTGTCAGACGCCCTCGGCCCGAGTTGTAGGCAGAGGCTATGCCTCGTCCTCTCCCCATTCGCCTAACGTGGATCCGGTCTCCGCCTTGATGGATGGATGCTTCGCGACCGACTCCTCAGTCGGCATCCAGAGGATAAGTTCGATAGCCCCAGCTTAGCAAGCCCAAGGCCCAGTTTTTTTCCAGCCTCTTCAGAAGCCTCCAGCGGTCGTTTCGTTCTCTTGCGCTCAGACATCGCTGTTTCCCTTGCCTATTGTTCTTGCTTGGTTCCTCCAGCCTTGCCCTCCGTCTTCCATCCGTTGTTCGTCGCTGGTCACTCGCTATGGCCGTTTGGCGTTGTGCTGCTGTTCCTGCTACAGCGGCCCGGCGGCAGCCCTCCTTCCTCCGAGCCGTAACCTGGCCGATGCTGCTTCTACACCAGCGGCGATAGCTGCTAGGTTTCTGCCGCGTCCGTTCGTCGACTCCCAGCCGGCTGGCTCGTCCGTTCATTGCTCTCAGCTCTGCGCGCTCTCGTGGCGTCCTCTTCGAAGCACTTCATTGGCTCGCCTATTATTTCTCCCCTTCGTCTCTTATCCTGTCCTTCTTTTCCTTTTTCTATTACTTATAACATTGTCGGCCATTTAGCCGGCTAACGCGTTCTCTGTCTATCGGCCGACCCGAGTCCGGCCAGGCCGAATCCCCACCGCCCCAAAAGTTACCAAGTGGCAAACGAAGCAAACACTGCCCCCATGTCCATTACCATCACCGCCGCTGCTACCGCTGCCCCGGCCGGCAGCAGCAGTTAGATCGAGATCTGCTTGGCTCGGTCCGTCTGACGCGGCCCAGCTTCCCAAACTGACGTTGCCGGCATCACCATAGCCGCGGCCGCCGCTGCATTGTAGCCGCCCGTAATGGTCCATAATAAGCGCTGCCCTTTCCCTAGTCCCGCCCCAAACTCCTCCTATTGGCCCGCCCCACAATGGAGCGCTCGTCGGTTTAGCGTTCCCTCAGTTCGAAGCGAAGACCGGTGCGTGCGGCCGGGATAGCGACAACGCTGTTGCTGCTACTGCTGCCGCTAGTTCCGCTTGTCCTGCCACTGAGCAAGCACGACTAGTGCCCTTGTGGGGCCGCAGCATTTACGAAAGCAATGACCGCATGGGAATGAGTACTGCCTTTTCGGTGACTACGGCCGTTGCTCCCGCTGTTAATGCCACAGCCATTACTTTTACTAATACGACTGCCGCCCTTGTTGCTGCAGATCTATGAATCACATCTACGAATTGTAGTACCGCCCGTGAATTAAGCTGAGACAGTTTTACAGAGATGTGCACTACAACTGTTCCCGTTCAGATACAAACCAATTTTATATTTCTGTTTATCTCTTGTCTCTGCTAATATGTGTCGTAATAGAAAAGTTTTGTGTATACTGAAGAAAAAACCTTATGCGTCCATTTGCCTGGAAACTACGCATAATCAGGGTGTCTCCGATCTCGCTAGTTCGGATCGTTAATAACACTGCATGTTAGAATATCAGTGTGTCAGCTGAATCCTAGTGCTTCTTTTTTCCGCGTCAATCAGAACTTTGTGCTCGGAAACACCTGAAGAGCAATCTCTGTTATCACAGCAGTGAAATCGCTTGCAGAGCTACAACTGTGGTGCTGTTCGTGTGCGGTGACTGCGAGTGTGTATGTGTGTATTTTGTGTGGGGAGTGCGTGCCCATAGAGTATAAATGTGCGCGTCCACCGAGTCCATCGTAATCTAACTGTGTACTCTAACTAACTTCAGTTGTGTCCGATGTTAATATTCAGTTAAGGATCTTGCGTCGTCAAAATGGTTTCAACGGAAGAGATTACGCAAGCGATGGTAGTCAATTCGGCAGGCCCTCAGGTTACACGTCCCAAGTTGGGATTCAGCATTGACGCTATTGTAGGTAAACACCGCGCGGTCGCTGCAGTTGCCGGTGTGGGAGCAATGGGTGCTGCTGCTGATGAGGAAAGTTCAGGGCCTTCGCGCACGCCATCTCCAACCGCGCCCCCAAGTATTGCAATGGACTCACCTGGTAGCGCTGATTCGGACCCCGAATCGCGTGAGGGAGCCCGTGCGCCTGCGGCTTTGCCCCGCCGTCCAGTTCCTCTTCCGGGTCCGCTTGATGCTTTGGTGAGCGTTCAGGCTGACTTACGGGCTCCGTTCCCGCTCGCGGGCTTTCCGGCACCTCAATTTCTCATGCGACCTGGGCATCCTGGGGCATCTGAAGCTGTCCCGGGCCATGGGCCGTCACCCCAACCGCTTTACCCCTGGCTTTTGGCCGCAAGACACTCACGATTCTTCGCACAACGCTTCGCCGGTAAGTAGTTTGGTCCAGAATTAGATGAGCTTGAATTCAGGTGGTGCATATCTCTAAATGGACATTAGTATTATTAATATTTTGTCTCACCGTCAATTCCCCATTTTTTCTTCACGGTGATAACAAGGTTTGCCACCCTGACAGTGAAATCCGCTCAGACATACAAAAACACTCTCCACCCACAACCGTAACGATTTAAGCGCAACCACTCTTAGAGGCAGAATCTCGTTTTGTTACCTTTACACCTTTCACTGCAGATTTTCTACCTTAAATTGACCGTTTGGTCAACCGATCTAGTCCATCTATCTAAACACCATTTATTTAATAAATATTTATTTAGTGACACTGTCGATGACTGACGACAATTCTTCAACCGTGACTCATGACAATATTCAATTAACAAAGACTGCGAAACTTTATTGAGCAGATCTCAAGGAATTACTGCCGAATTAAACAGGTAACGACGCGCTAGTGGTGACGGGTCTCACAACGATCTTCTGTCAACGACTATCATACTGTATCTACCAACGAGAAAGTCTGTACGCTTGTATAGGTTCATACTTGGCTGAACCCGAAGACCCGAGACAAAAACCTCTATTCGCCGCTGAATCACAGCGAATGCTTGAACAAATTTCCTGCAGTAATAGACAAATGTTTCAAATTGATATCATCCCGAACGAGCGCTAATAATCTACACCACAGTTAACAGCGTGCCGAATTTTAATGGACTACTAATTCTAATATACTGGACGCTAGCAGTGTACCTTGGAGAGGGGTAGTTTATTAAAAGCTAGTTGGTGTGAGTATTTCACCGTCGAGTCACTTGTATGTAGGCCCCACCCTCGATAGGTCCTAGAAACAATACTAAGACAGCAACGCCAAGGCTCATCGTGGGAAGGACAGTTGAGTCGGCTATGAAAATAGTGTTCTTTAGGTGGTGTAAATACTTCTATTATGTACAGCCCTACTACCTCTCGATACGAATGATATGGATCAAAGTTTCGATCGAAGATTGAAAGTCTTGATTATTATGGCAATTTGTATTCACTGCGTAGGCATCCTCACCGTCAACAGGCCTACATGTGGCATATTTTAAATGCGGGTTTTGCTGTAAGGCATGTCGTGATGTACGGATGTTCACGCATTGGCTAACTATAACTTAACTATATCGATATTTAATGCGTCAAATAGAGAAGCAATACATATATGATGCTTCACGTAAACGTCAGCTCGGTGATATGATTTCGCTCCTGCGTGTCCGGCATGCCTTTATCAGAGGACTATGTATAATATTATGCCGCCATATACTAAGTACCATTACTACCGTTATTCAATCAACACATTGTTCCGCTTCGCTAAGTAGATGTTGATACACGACCGTATGGGAAGCGAAGAGGCTATGGTTACTTCTTCAGTTTTCCTCACGTGTTTAAACGACTTGAATGAACAGTGCGTAGTTTGACAACACGTTTGTAAACGGACCCACGTTAATTACGGCTTTGCTACATCGCTAACAATAACTTCAGCATAATATATGTAGTCTTGCTATAGGATTAGTAATATTAACAGCCATTACCACCATTACGGTTTGATAGGAGAAAGCATTGATTATTAAGGGTTGTCGGTCGGTCGGTCGGTCGATCGATCGATCGATCGATCGATCGGTCGACCGGCGTCGTGGAATATCAACAGCTGCAGTAATACTGCTGAGTAATTTTATACTATTATCGTCTGCTGTTGCCGTTGACGGTGCTGGTGTGCTTCCTAGACTTACTTCAGCACAGACCATCGCAGTTCTCTCTCCAAACTATTCTGAGAGCCCTGGCCGTCTATCGCCCGTGTTAATTCGCTACATCCTTCCGTCGCCTCTGTAGTAATAATATTTACTATATTGCCAACGAGCAGTGCTTGTTAGTTGTCAGCTGTCGCTGGTCGGTTGGGCCGTCGTCCATCCGTTTGCTGCCAGTTCAAACAGCAACGACACCAATCTTTAAAGAAAACAAAAAAGAAGACGAGAAATAACGCTGGTGCGTGTTTATTTATTATTTGAAGGATACAATTAACTGCTTCCATCTTGCTCGTCGTGGTACTAGTTCTGCTTCTGTGGCTTTTTCTCCAAACGAAACAGAAGATCAGAATATAAGCAATGTGAAACATTAACGCATTTTCGCCTGTTCATTGTGGTCGCCACAGCCGTCGCCATTACTCATGATGATGGCGGCGGCGGCGGCGGCGGCGGCGGCGGCGGCGGCGGCGGCGGCTGCTAATGATCATCATGCTAAAATAGACGAAAGATGCTCGACCAAAACGGAAGAAACGAATAGCTGTATTGCTAGTTTTAGAAATGAATTTTGATTGTAATTGTAGCATTGATAATGCTGTTAGCGGCTAGAAATCTTTGCCCTTCTGTTTTGGGAATGAGTTATTAGAACGGCGCGCTTTTCTAGGATCACGATCGCACGACACGCAGCGCACCATACGGATAGTTAAATACATGGCAGTCTGATATTGGTGTCGTTTACGTGCAGCCAGCATGCGTGGACTTCATTGTTTCTCCGTGCCAGTGTTTGCACTAGCACTACCGGGTCGTGTGTTGCTTCACTAACCTATTGATTCCTGACCTATCCTTAATTTCCGATCCACATAGGTTTCTGTCGACGTTAATAAAAGAAAATGATTTTCCATTTTGTGCATCTATCTAGCTGTTGGACATTTCGGATAGTCTAGTTCCTCGAATACTTTCATGACTGAATTAGGCAAATCCAAACCACTGTGTGTAGCTAACGGATCTATATGCTCGGAGGTGGCTGTATTGGCGTAGTTCATCAGTCGAAGCTCTCTTTGTCGCCGCGATATTAGTAGCGTAAACGCCATTACTGACGTTGTTCACACAGTCTTAATTAGCCTTCTCCTCGTTTCTTTTAATTATTCCCTTCAGTTTGGTGCTGGCTGAAGCGAGCCCACGTAGAAGGACTGACTAGTTACCCCCGATCCATGTGCTGCTGTTGGTACACCGTCCATTCGATAGATGACACCAACAAGCACGTACGCGAGGCAATATATGTGTGTGTGTGCACATATACACAGTACATACGTAGAGCAAGATTCAAGCATTGTATTATTCTGAGTGTGTTTATGACTACTGCAACGTTGAGACGACATTACAACTGGGTTAGTGTCCTCCAACCACTGCCGGTTCCGCTGTCTACCTTCCTCGGAAGTTTCTGAAAAAGAAGATCTTTTTGATCACTTCTCTCTGAACTGTCATTTTTAACACTTCTAGTAGCCCTGTTGTCAACTGTTATTATACGATAGAAGAGCAACAACAACGTGGACTTTTATCCTTAAAACAGTAATGTTGGCCGCTTCCAGACATTTACTACAAATATATTACATACAAATATGTTTGAGCATACACGTCGCAGACTGTTGTTTAAAGCGCTTTAAAGAAAAATACTCATTCGTTAAAACAACCACAATGGTCCGCTGAAGTGGTTTGCGAAGAAAAGCCGATGTATGTTCAGGCTCTTTGTGGTACGCAAACTAAGAGCCACAAACAAATTGAGCCTTCGTCAAGTCAGCCCATGGTCGAAAAATCCTGTTTCCATTGATATTTCCTCAAAGATCCTTATAAATCTCTTAACGGATAATGTTTATATGGATCAGTTTTTGTAGTTCGTACCGTGATGTTGCAGTGCGCAGATGAATCATTGAGATTAACTTAAGTAATTTACTTTTCCAAGCACTACCAGCTAAAATGAACATATTTAGGGCTGTATTCAAATTTTAGTTATTATCTGTTGTTTCCTTTGTGCCTGAGTTGTAACGAAAATAAAAAAGCCATTTGTTGCACACAGTTTTAGCGAGTGTTGGGGGGGCATAACTGTTTCGTTTTCAGTACTGGCAAAAACGTGAATTTTAGACAACGAATTCGAATCTAATTCGTACGCTATCCGTTGTGCCCCCTAAAACGCCAGTCGGAGCAGCATTTGTCATAGGCCGGGATTATTTTGATTCGTATTTTATTAGTATTTGTACTATTTCACTACAGCGTACTTCTACCATCACTATTCCATATTGCCTCTTCTTTTTATGGTGACTTCGTTAGTGCTTGTACACTAATATGCACACGTGTATGCACAGGGTACGGCACCTAAATTTGAACGAAAAGTGGCGGGCGTTTGCCGTACGAGGCGTGAGTTTATCCGCCCTTCTCGCTACTAGAAAAAAAGCCACATCTTTCTAGAGCAAAACAATAAACGCGTCATGGTAGAGAACCATGGGTCATTTGCGCGAAAATAAAATAGGCTATTATCGTATGTCTTAGCGCTGGACGAATCCTCACGGAAATATTTTCAATTTTTTTTCTTTTCTTTTTTCCTAAAATCGACCGTTTACGTTATTTCTGGTTTTCACGCGAATTTGAAAAATCCAAAGATTTCCATGGCGCAAACCGCAAGTCTCTTCTTCGCTTTCAGGTTTAGATGGCTTAAAAATTTAATAAAAAGCCATTTTTAATACACTTGGATCCTTTGTGGAAAATCGAAATAGCTAATCAACGAGGCTCTTGAGACCTAGCCACAGGTCAACGCCAAGTGCACGCGTGCTCTTCAACGAACCTTTGATAGGGAGGTCCACTTGTGGGTGGCAAGGCTTACAACAGAAGTTAAACTAAAGAGCTTGAATTGTGAGCAAGTGCCCAATTGGTCAACAACGGTTTCAAAGTAATCCTAACATAGCCACAGAAAAAAAAAAGCTATTTACAAAAGGTTTTTAATAACATTACGTGACGTTGTTTTTTAGAATGAGCCTAACTTTTTGCGATAATGCATGGGCCTACATGTTATAACTTGTACAAAGTTATTTTTTACAGAAAAAGTTGGTGTTTGTGTTGCGTGGATTCCCGTGTTATTTAGATCTAGCGGTTTCTCTGACTTTCTATTTCCTCTAAATAAAAAAAAAACTTTGCAGACGAGAAAAATTCAGAAATTCAGCGGAAA